GCCAGGGGGGTGAAGGGTCAGGTTGGGTTTTTGGGGTCACACACGGATTTTTGGGGTCAGGGTTGGGGTTTTTGGGGTCACACCCGGATTTTTGGGGTCCCCCCGGGTTTTGGGGTCAGCGTTGGGGTTTTTGGGGTCCCTGTTGAGGGTTTTGGGGTCCCCCAGGGGATTTTTGGGGTCCCCCAAGCTTTGGGATCCCGCTCACGTTTTGGGGTTTCCCCCATGGATTTTGGGGTCCTGCCCAGGATTAGGGCTGGGATTTTGGGGTTGGGGTTTTGGGGTTGGGATTTTGGGGTCACACCCAGATTTTTGGGGTCCCTGCTGAGGGTTTTGGGGGTCCCCCAAGCTTGGGGTCCTGCCCAAATTTTAGGATTTCCCCCATGGATTTTGGGGTCCTGCCCAGGATTAGGGTTAGGATTTTGGGGTTGGGGTTTCGGGGTTGGGGTTTTAGGGCCAGGGTTGGGATTTTTGGGGTCCCCCGGGGGATTTTTGGGGTCACCTCTCCCACTCCTCCTCGGCCTCCTCGGCCGTCAGGGTGCGGTGCCGGGCCAGGGGGGTGAAGTTGAACCAGTTCCTGACCGGGAAAGCCTCGAAGGCGCCGTCGGGGCATTGCGTGAAGATGTAATAGGAGGCGTTCTCGGTGACACCCCCCTTCTTCACACCCCGAAACCTGCCGGGGCACGGCGGGGTCACCCCGAAATCTGACGGGAATCACCCCAAAAATGCCCCAGAAACACCCCAAAAAAAACCCGAGAGAAATAGCCCAAAAAACCCAAGAGCAATACCCCAAAATCTGACAGCAATCACCCCAAAAACTGACAGGAATCACCCCAAAAACCCCAAACCTCAAATCCCAAAAACCCAAAATCCACAACCCCAAATCCCTGCTCCTTTCCCACCCCAAACCCCAAAACCCCAAATCCCAAATCTCTGCTCCTTTCCCACCCCAAACCCCAAACCCCAAAACCCCAAATCTCAAAACCCCAAATCCCAAATCCCTGCTCCTTTCCCACTCCAATCCCATTTCCCAAACCCCAAATCCTGCTCCTTTCCCACCCCAAAAACCCCAAATCCAAACCCCAAAACCCCAAATCCCACACCCCAAAAACCCCAAAACCCCAAATCCCACCCCCCAAAAACCCCAATTCCCACCTCCTGCCGCCTTTCCCGTTGACCCTGAGCAGCCAGGGCTGATCCTCGGCCCGGAATTCCCGCAGCACGATCCCGTATTTTTTCCTCCGCGCTTCCTCGCGCAGCCGCCGGTGGAACTCGCTCCCCGCGCCCGACTCGGGCAGCTCCTCCTCGGCGTAGATGCGCTTGTTGCTCATGTCCCGCTCCATCCGCGCCTGTGGGGGGATGATCCTAAATCCCAGAGGCCCCAAATCCCCTGATCCCAAAGATCCCAGAGATCCCAAATCCCCTGGTCCCAGAGATCCCAAATCCCTGATCCCAAATTCTGTTGCTGCCGATCCCCGCTCGGCGTAGATGCGCTTGTTGCTCATGTCCCGCTTCATCCTGGCCTGTGGGGGGGTGATCCCAAATCCCAAAGATCCCAAATCCCCTGATCCCAAATCCCAGAGGCCCCAAATCCCCTGATCCCAAAGATCCCAGAGATCCCAAATCCCCTGGTCCCAGAGATCCCAAATCCCTGATCCCAAATTCTGTTGCTGCCGATCCCCGCTCGGCGTAGATGCGCTTGTTGCTCATGTCCCGCTTCATCCTGGCCTGTGGGGGGGTGATCCCAAATCCCAAAGATCCCAAATCCCCTGATCCCAAATCCCAGAGGCCCCAAATCCCCTGATCCCAAAGATCCCAGAGATCCCAAATCCCCTGGTCCCAGAGATCCCAAATCCCTGATCCCAAATTCTGTTGCTGCCGATCCCCGCTCGGCGTAGATGCGCTTGTTGCTCATGTCCCGCTTCATCCTGGCCTGTGGGGGGGTGATCCCAAATCCCAAAGATCCCAAATCCCCTGATCCCAAATCCCAGAGGCCCCAAATCCCCTGATCCCAAAGATCCCAGAGATCCCAAATCCCCTGGTCCCAGAGATCCCAAATCCCTGATCCCAAATTCTGTTGCTGCCGATCCCCGCTCGGCGTAGATGCGCTTGTTGCTCATGTCCCGCTTCATCCTGGCCTGTGGGGGGGTGATCCCAAATCCCAAAGATCCCAAATCCCCTGATCCCAAATCCCAGAGGCCCCAAATCCCCTGATCCCAAAGATCCCAGAGATCCCAAATCCCCTGGTCCCAGAGATCCCAAATCCCTGATCCCAAATTCTGTTGCTGCCGATCCCCGCTCGGCGTAGATGCGCTTGTTGCTCATGTCCCGCTTCATCCTGGCCTGTGGGGGGGTGATCCCAAATCCCAAAGATCCCAAATCCCCTGATCCCAAATCCCAGAGGCCCCAAATCCCCTGATCCCAAAGATCCCAGAGATCCCAAATCCCCTGGTCCCAGAGATCCCAAATCCCTGATCCCAAATTCTGTTGCTGCCGATCCCCGCTCGGCGTAGATGCGCTTGTTGCTCATGTCCCGCTTCATCCTGGCCTGTGGGGGGGTGATCCCAAATCCCAAAGATCCCAAATCCCCTGATCCCAAATCCCAGAGGCCCCAAATCCCCTGATCCCAAAGATCCCAGAGATCCCAAATCCCCTGGTCCCAGAGATCCCAAATCCCTGATCCCAAATTCTGTTGCTGCCGATCCCCGCTCGGCGTAGATGCGCTTGTTGCTCATGTCCCGCTTCATCCTGGCCTGTGGGGGGGTGATCCCAAATCCCAAAGATCCCAAATCCCCTGATCCCAAATCCCAGAGGCCCCAAATCCCCTGATCCCAAAGATCCCAGAGATCCCAAATCCCCTGGTCCCAGAGATCCCAAATCCCTGATCCCAAATTCTGTTGCTGCCGATCCCCGCTCGGCGTAGATGCGCTTGTTGCTCATGTCCCGCTTCATCCTGGCCTGTGGGGGGGTGATCCCAAATCCCAAAGATCCCAAATCCCCTGATCCCAAATCCCAGAGGCCCCAAATCCCCTGATCCCAAAGATCCCAGAGATCCCAAATCCCCTGGTCCCAGAGATCCCAAATCCCTGATCCCAAATTCTGTTGCTGCCGATCCCCGCTCGGCGTAGATGCGCTTGTTGCTCATGTCCCGCTTCATCCTGGCCTGTGGGGGGGTGATCCCAAATCCCAAAGATCCCAAATCCCCTGATCCCAAATCCCCAAATCCCAAAGATCCCAAACCCCCCTCGTCCTGAATCTGGATCCCAACGGATCCACGCAGCCCCAAGTCCTGACAAGAAAGGATCAGGGTCGGGGCTGATCCTAAATCCCAGAGACCCCAAACCTCCTGATCCTAAATCCCAGAGACTCCAAACCTCCTGATCGTGAATCCCAGAAGTCCCAAATCCCCTGATCCCAAATCCCTGAGATCCCAAATCCCTGATCCCAAACCCTGCTGCTGCCGATCCCCGCTCGGCGTCGATGCGCTTTTTGCTCATGTCCCGCTCCATCCTGCTCTGAATGGGGTGAGATTGGGATGATCCTAAATCCCAGAGGCCCCAAATTCCTGAATCCCAAAGATCCCAAATCCCCTGGTCCCAAATCCCTGAGGTCCCAAATCCCTGATCCCAAATTCTGCTGCTGCCGATCCCCGCTCGGCGTGGATGCGCTTGTTGCTCATGTCCCGCTCCATCCTGGCCTGGGTGGGGATGATCCTAAATCCCAGAGATCTCAAACCCCTGAATCCCAAAGATCCCAAATCCCAGAGGCCCCAAATCCCCTGATCCCAAAGATCCCAAATCCCAGAGGTCCCAAATTCCTGATCCCAAATCCCAGAAGTCCCAACACACCTGTGTCCAGGTGCTCAGGGCTCCCAAACCCCCTGGGCTCACCTGGCGCTCCCAAAGCCCCTGGGCTCACCTGGAGCTCCCAAACCCCCTGGGCTCACCTGGGGCTCCCAAACCCCCTGGGCTCACCTGTGCCCAGGTGCTCAGGCTCACTCTGTCGGCGCTGTTGAAGGCCATGATGTTGTAGCGTTTCGGGGTGTTCCTGTCGAGGGGAGGGGCAAAAAAAAATCCCCTGAGACCCCTCCCCAAATTCCCGTGAGAGCCCAAAAACGCCCCCAGACCCCAAAATCCCCCATTCCCACCCCAAATCCTGGACCCCAAATCCCAAATTCTCCCCAGACCCCAAATCCTGGACTCCAAATCCCGGACCCCAGACCCCCAATCCCAAATCCTGGACCCCAAATCCCAAATTCCCCCTGGACCCCAAATCCCAGAACCCAAATCTGCCCCAAGAACCCCAAATTTCAAATGCTTGACCCCAAATCCCCAATCCCTGACCCCAAATCCTGGACCCCAGACCCCAAATCCTTGACCCCAAATCCCAGATCTGAACCCCAAATCCCAAATTTCCCCCAGACCCCAAATCCCGGACCCCAGA